AATGTAGAGCATTGTCTTTATAAGCTGTGTCATGCCAATTGAGCTAGATGTTCCCCGAGACCATGGTCCCCACAGCCCTCCGCCCGGCAATTCAGACCCTCAGGGAGTTTGGATGTGTCTATGGGGCTTCCGTGACCTTTCCTTGTACAAGTTGTGCTAGTTTCTCCTGTATTGTTTACTGTCTCACCAGAAGCTTTCTTTTTAAGAACAACATACAACTCAGAAAAAGAGCACAGCAATAGATTTAACATTATAGAATCTCCAGAAAAATTTTAACAAGATAATTTTAACTTTTTTGATTGACAAGAGGAAAATTTACCTTAAAAATAATTTTCATGGAAGTGGTGTATTTTGTGAATAGGTTGATTTAGCTTCCTGTATTGAACAAAGGGTGAAGGCATATAAATAATAATACTCACTGAAATAATTAAATTGAAAGAAATTCCTTCTATTCAATGTGGTTATATGAAATAAGAGAACTATATTATGCAGCTGTTGTAGGCTCACTAAATTTGTAATGCATAAAGGTTAGTAAACTATGAACCTATATATCTAGATGAAACCATAATCTTTCTATTGTGTTGGTCATGTCAAATCAGGTTGTAGTCTAATGGACAAGAAACCAAAAAGAGAAGGGAACTGAAAGATACATATATATATACACACACACACACTTATGTACACACACACACACGTTGTTGTTAGGTGCCATCGAGTTGGTTCCAAGTCATACTGACCCTATGTACAATAGAATGAAACACTGCCAGGTCCTGCACCATCCTTACAATGGTTGCTATTTTTAACCCCATTGTTGTAGCCACTGTGTCAATCCATCTTGCTGAGGGTCTTTGTATATAAAATATACATATCCTAGTTTAAAATGGTTTTTTAAACTAGGATTTTTGTGAAGAGTTAAACTAACCTGCATTGATGATCACTGTGGTGAGGCATCATGAAAAATGTTTTCCCACTATAGGAGCTCTGTACATTCTCCATTTTTCTAAGCAAGAAACACAACTTCTCAATAAGACTGAGAACGTAGTGATGCAAAGAACATTATCCCTGGAATAGAGCAGCATCAGCAATGACTCTGAACTCAGAGTCACAGATTTTAACCCAAAATGCAGGAGGCTGAACTCCATGTATTTGAGCTATAGACTGCTCTAGTTAACATACAAACAAACACAAACACAACCTTCCAGAAACTACTAGTCAGCCACAGAGAAAGCACAATAAATGCATTTCACAGATAATTTCAAATGTAACTGTAGGAAGTAGTTCCCAATATAATCACCATTAAACCCTATGGAAAATCTTACTCCTCATGCTGATTTCATATAACTGTTCAAAAAAATTTTTTCTGTCACCTCATCTGAAGGTGCAGATGAGTAATGGAATGGACAAAGAGGAGAAAGCTGGAGAGAGGAAACAAACAAAAAAATCCCAATTTTCTCTTAGTTTTCAGCCTCAGTCAATAGAATTAGCTCCATACTGTTTTGCTCAAATATCCAGAAGGGTCAGACCATTTCTGGTCACCCGAGGATGACTTTGGCTCTCTTTTTAGTGCACTTATTTTGGTGAGTATGAATCCCTGGGTGACCTAAGTACTTTGAAGGATTTAAAAAAAAAAATTTTGTTATTGAGCTGAAAGAGAAACTGATATTCTTTGGTACTTGAAATCTTGAGCATAATGAGTGAACAAGTGTGCAGGTGGATAAGTCCACCTGTGATGTATCATAGCAGCAACGCCCATCAGGGAGACGTCCCATACACACCATGAAGATTTCCTAGGTCTGCCTGAAGAGAGTCTGTAGGGAGGTCACAAAGGTTCTCTCCTTCACTGTCTCTAGTGTGTAAGCCCTGTGTGAGAGGTCCATGCTTGGCTTATTTCTCTTTCCTTGCTCCCTGAGATTCTTGTGGCCTATTTCCCACAGAGTATGTTGACACTGCATTCTAGTCTTAATTTATGGCTCATATTAGCCATTGTTGAGAATCCTCAGGTTTCTTGTAATTTTCCATGTTTTCCCTAGGAAATTTCTTACTTCATGCCTTGGGGTTTCATTCATTTATCTGATAAATTGATCCCTAGGGATTATTATTAAAAATAATGTGCAATTTTAACTCTTGGGAGACCCCATGGTCTCCTTAAGCATCCATCCTTGTGCTTCTCAAACAGGGTATGTAAATTTGTGCCATGAGATATAGGCCCCAGATAAATGTTTTCCTGAAGGGAAACATTTTATTTAGAGAAAATAATTTTATATTATACAAAATACATGTGTACTATGGAATAAACCCATTGCTGTCAAGTTGATTCCAACTCATAGCAACCCTATAGGACAAAGTAGAACTGCTCCATAAGGTTTCCAAGGCTGTAATCTTTATGGGAACAGACTGCCACATCTTTCTCCCTTGGAGCTGCTGGTGGGTTTGAACTGCCAATCTTTTGGTTAGCAGCTGAGCCCTTTAAACACTGTGCCACAAGAGCTCTTTATACTATGGAATAGCTCCTACCCACTACCTTGGAGTTGATTCTGACTCATAGCAACCCTACAGGACAGAGTAAGAACTGCCCCACAGAGTTTCCAAGCCTGTAATCTTTAAGGGAGAAGACTGCCACATCTTTCTTCCATGGAGTGGCTGGTGGGTTCGAACCACCACACTTTCGGTTAGCAGCCAAGTGCATAACCACTGCACCTAGGAAATGCAATTTGTAATGATCTTTAAGATAAAACTTTGGATTTCAAAGAATTATTGTTCCCACATGCCCTATGTTCTCTGACCACTGTTGCCAGCATGCTTTGGTGGAAAGGTTGAGAAATACCGTGCTGGAGCATTTCTTCACCTGGCACCCAGAAGGTCCATCCTCCTCACCCACCTCTTTTCAGCCCCAGTATGGCCATAACTAAAAACCTGGGGATTCTCTTATTTTAATTAGTTGGCCTCTCAGCTGATGGTCTTCCTGTTTCAGCATGGGGTTTGGGCACAAACATGGAATTCTTTGACATTGTTTTCTCTGCACACTTTTCTGTCTGAGGCTTTGTCCTACAGCCTTCTGAGACGCATGTGTTGTTCTGTGGATGACATGGAAGCTGCTATGTAAAAATAAAATATGCTTAGGTTACCGTTGTCTTCTATATATATTCCAGGTGAGATTAGAGTTGTCATAACTAATTTTGGGAAAGATGACCTCTACATATTTCCTGGTACACCTAGGAGAGAACTATCTGTGAAAGAGGCCTGAAAGACTGCTGGGTGGCCTCATGTCTTCTGTGGTTGTGGTCTGATGGATTTGCTTCTAATTTCAGCAGGATTTCATCATCAGGCACACTTTAAAACTCCTCCTACCAAAATTAATTTACCATTTGTTTCTGTGCTGTGAATGTGGAATATCATTAAATAGGCAGAAAATGATTGTCACATATCTGGGAACATAGGGGTAATCTTGGTTTATATGTAATATTTAGTCAGTGACAACCTACCAGAATTAGAACAGGCAGGGCTCAGGAATTAGGAAAGCTGATGAACATTTTATGCCATTATATTAATTATAAAATATTGTTTTAATCTCCAGGATATATGGTATATAGAACTCAGTCTGAGCTAGTATACTCAAAGAGTCTCATATTTCTCTGTAATTCATAAGTAACTTCAATCCATATGGAGTGGATTGACATCACAATTATTATCACAGGTTATCATCAAAGGAAATTTCAAAGTGACTGCTGCTCCAAAGTCATGTTAATCCAACAGTCCAGCCGAATTTTGCTACCTGTATCACATTAATAATTAAGCTCCTTTTGAAGAACTAGTATGAGCCAAGCAACTAGGAGACTATTACAGAGACAGAAGATATGGATTATACCATTGCACAGTTCACAGTCCAAGGTGTATTGACATAAAACAATTAAGAAGCAATGTAAGATTGAATCTAATAGAACAGAGTACCAGATTTTGTGGTATTCCTCTCAGTGCCGAACAGCCTGCCCTGAAAACCTGCTTTAGAGTCCCCTTCCCCACAGACACAGTCTAGTATGATTTATCAAGTTTTCTCCTAGAGATGATAAGACCATATAAAAAGATTCCAATACAGTTAGGACCCAATTAAGTATATGTAAAGAATAAATTAATATTTATTTATATGACTGTACTCTGCATGAATAACTGCAGGATTAAAAATCAAATAGAGGAATTTAGATATACATTTGGCTAGTCTTGATGATAGAATCAGTGCCCTAGATATTTATTCATTTATTTATAGGTATTTGGTTTGTGTTTATTGTATACATTGCCCTGATTTGGGCATTGAGGGGGAGGCAAAAGATATTTAAGTCTTAGTCTTGCTCTTAAAAGAACAACTAAGCATCCCTTCAAAATAGTATCCAATTAAATGGCTAAATTGTAGACAAAGATAGTTTCAGGGAAAGGAGAGTTCAAGGAGACATCAGGTATTATCTACTATCTCATGGAAGAGAAAGGGTTGATTAAGATTTGCTTCAGTAGATAGGCAGGGGCAAGTGCTCATGGTCAGAGGAAGCACTATGATTAAAACACCCAAACCAAAAACCAAACCCATTGCCATCCAGTCAGTTCTGACCCATAGCAACCCTACAGGACAGAGTAGAACTGCCCCCATAGGGTTCCCAAGGAGCAGCTGGTGGATTCAAACTGCTGACCTTTTGGTTAGCAGCCAAGCTCTTAACCACTATGCCACCAGGGCTTAGTTGGGAATAAATGTGTTTAAGAGAAGTAAGAAGGCTGAGCATCCTGAAGTGCAGTGTTATACATTGGATTAGTAGGAAAAAAGCCTGGATCTAGCAGTCTATTGAACAGATTTTGAATGGCAACTGAAGAGTTTGTACTTCATAATTGATAGAGATATGAAGCATACTCCATTTTTGGTGTGAATGACAACCTTGAACAATGAAAGATGTCCATTACTAGTTTTTTTTTTTTTTTTGAGACTCTTTGACCCATTGTCTTTAAGAATATTTATTTTCTGAAGTTAGAAGATTCCTCCCTCTCTTGAAAGGCTTCAGGAACACATGCAATTGATTCCTTCTGCCAGTCAAGATTAAAAGCAGCAAAGACACACCATAGAAAAAGTACATATATGTAATAACCCATATAATTACTCAGTGAGCTATGAATATTTAAAATATTTTATTGAATATATCATCAGTGAACTGAACTTATACTTCTAAAAACCAAACCCAACCCACTGCCGTTGAGTGGATTCTGACTCAAAGTGACCCTGTAGGACAGAGTAGAACTGCTCCATAGGGTTTCCAATGCTGTGAATCTCTACAGAAGCAGACTGCTACCTCTTTCTCCCACAGTGGTGGGTGGGTTCTAACTGCCGACCTTTTAGTTAGCAACCAAGTGCTTTAATCACTGTACTTCCAGGGCCCACTGAACTGTTAAGGAACAGTGAAAGATAATTCTCTCTCTTCAGTGTGAGCCGAAATATGATGTACTGATGCCATTCTCTATTTTTATTATTAATAGCACGGGCCGGAAGTGACAAACTCAGCTTCTCTTTCAAATATGTCTCAGTTTTGGCTAATTCTTAGTCCTAGGACTTTCTTTAGGGCATCTTTCATGTCCTTGTTTTGGAGACTATAGATAAGGGGATTTAGTAGTGGAGTCACTGCTGAGTATACCAAAGTGATGATCTTCTGCATCCCTGCTGTGTTCCCTGATGCTGGACTCACATACATAACCATAAGAGTTCCATAGAATAGAGACACTACCATCAGATGGGACCCACATGTAGAGAAAGCTTTAGTTCGACCAGCTCCAGAGGGAACACGAAGAACAACTCTGAGCACCAGAGTGTAAGATCCCAAAACGGAGAGGAAGGGCCCAAAGATAATCACTGAGTTGAAGGTGTAACAGATAAGCTCAGCAGAAGGCGCAGGGACACAGGCCAGTGCAAACAATGGGCCTGGGTCGCACAAAATGTGGTCAATGATATTGGGTCCACAGAAGGGAAGTTGGGAGATAAGGACAATGGGGACTGGGTAGCAGAGGAATCCACTCATCCAGCAAACACAGACCAGAATCACACAGAACTTTCTAGTCATGATAGACGGGTAGTGCAGTGGGTGGCAGATGGCTAGGTACTGATCACAGGCCATAACTGATAAGAAGAAACACTCAGTTGTACCCAGTGAAAAAAAGAAGTAGAACTGGAAGAAGCAGCCAGAGAAAGAGATGGTCTTAGTCTCAGAGAGGATGTTGACCAGCATGTTTGGGACAGTGGAGGAAACATACCAGATCTCTAGGAAGGCAAAGTTTCCCAAGAGGATGTACATGGGTGTGTGGAGCCGCCTGTCCCATTTCTCTGCACAGATAATAGCCCCATTGCTCAGCAGGGTTAGGAGATAAAACACCAGGATTAATGTGAACAGGAAGTTCTGTGTCTCCCTTTGACCAGGGAAACCCAGGAGGACAAACTCAGTCACACATGCCTTGTTCTGTTCTGGAGTCTCAAAGCTGTTCAACAAACAGAAGAGACCAAGGAATGAATAATAATGAACATTCATAGGATAAGCTAATAATTGCTTGAAAATGTACTAAGAATTCTCACATACATTATCTCATCTGGTCTTCCTCATGGCCCCTCGAGCTACAGGGAAGTGTGCTTTATTGTCTTCTTTGTTTTTACAGATGAGAAAACTGAAGCTCCCAGAGATTTAAGGAGTTTACTTGAATGTGCAAAGCCAATAATTGCTAGATACACTGGCCCATTTGGAAGTTGGTTTAGAATAAACACCACTTCATTTCAAATGTTCCTGTAACCCTAAGTCTCAGTTTCAATTTTAATGGTAGAATCAGTGCCTCTTGGATACCCTACATGCAAGTATTAACTTTGGTCCCACTCTTTCACTTTGAAGCAAAATTGAGTATAAATCTGAAACAAAAATAGCTACTAAGTTCTAGACATCCAATATAAGCAGATGAGAATGGAGCTAGGTGGTAACCTTGAGCTCCCTTGCCTTTGCTGCTCCCAAGGAGGTGCTGCAGAACCCTTAGAGTTCTGTAAAACGATTTGCAAACCACCAATCTGGTTCCCTCTAGATCACATCTCTCAGGTGGCATCTGGATTTGCTGAACCCTTCAGCCAATTTCCCGCTTAAGGAGCCCTGGTTCTCCCAAAGCACTTCCCATATTGCACAAACTCTGTCTTCCTTATTGCTTCTACACACTAGCGCTGGGGCTCCTCTTTGCAGCTATACAAAATAAGTCTAATTCCTCAACTATGGGGGGAGGGAGCTTAAATTACTGAAGACAGATGTTATGTGCCCTATACGTCATTTCTTTTGCCACCATTTCCCCTGGCTTGTTTTTCCCAGCAGCTGTAGTATTCCACAACCCCACAGTCAGGGCTGGGCACCTGAGGTAGCTTGGTGTTTTCCTGCCAGGTAAGTCAATTTCTCTAGTATATACAATCATGTGCCTTCATTTTTGCCATGAATTAAGCCCTAAACACAATAATTTATGTCCCTTCATAATCTTGCTTTTACCTAAATTCAATAATGAATAGAGGCGTCACCTTAGGATATGCAAAGACCAAAAAGATCTTTCTGATGATGGCTGAATCAGGAGTTGAGATAAAACTATAAACCTGGATATTTTGCTGACAATCTTCTTGAAACTATTGCTCCAGGTTGATTTCTATGTCCTAAACTGCCAGTTAAAATTCAGAATGTTTGGCTGGGTAAGCCACCATTAATATTTTAAGTTCAGCAATATATTGACTTTAAAAATAGAACACTGACCATATTATTTATTTACGTCACTGTTAAGATACTTACTGGATGCCATTTATACCGTCTGTAGAGAGCAAAAGGCCTGCTTCTTAGTACTTGATCAAACCTGGAGCAAACCTGGAAGGATAAACATTTTATAGTCAAGGTTACTTTGGATATTTGTATTAACATTTTTTTTTTAGAATGATGAAAAAATTGTCTTTAACAAACATGATTTTTATGAAAATGTAAATTTTTTCCAAGAAATCTGGTTCACTGGATTATAATTATGACGACCATATGCATCAAAATTTCTAGGAGAGATATGATTTCAAATATACTTCTCACAACTATACTTATATTTGCCAGACCACATGCTGTCATTTTTGGTTGGAAAATATAATTACTGGGCTTGTAATAAGAAAAGAAATTGAATGCTGAATTTAGATTGCAGAATTTCCTCCATTTATTTATAAATTCAGGCATTTAACAAATGTTTTTTTCACTGTTATGTTCCTAGCAGTGTGCTAAATTCTTGGGTACAATGATGAACATGAAAAATAAAATTTCCCCCCCGTTGGAAATTATGATTTGTAAAAACAAAGTAATCAGTGCTGCCACCTACTTCTGTACAGTTGAGTGTCTGTGTGAATGGGGCTTCCTGGAGCAGTGTGTTTCACCCATACACCACTGTTTACTGTGCCCCTGGAAAACAACATTTATTCCATTTAGAAGCAATTTAGATAAATATATGTAGTGAAGGTGGCATGATAACAAACTTTACTTGGCATAAAATGTATGCAATGTCCCTATATTCACAATTTCTTAGTGGAGGATTGACTGTTTGGAGCAGAGCAAAGACCAGACTCTTCTAAAGCCATAATCAGCAGGTGTTGATTACTCACAGAATAAACAGGACAAGGAGGAGTAGAATAGCATGCATCATCATCAGCCTAGATTCTCTGAAGTTAGGCTCTTGTCCACAGGGTTACATCGCATGCAAGAATGACCCAGTTCACGTCTTCAGAAGATAATGCCTAAGTTCCTCTCCTCCAGGATTAAATACTAATCAGACAGACATGTCTATGTGCTAAATAGCATGTAGAGAGAATAAGTAGGGGGAGGGGCAATAAAAGGGGGGTAATAAAAGGTAAAAGGTAGAAAAAAAGTGGAAGTCCCCCTGTAGGCAAAGGACATCATTTATCGCCCCTGTTCAGAGTGTGCTACATTTACTGGCACCAGAGAATAGCCTTTTGGCTTTTACCCTACTAAGATAGCTTAACAGAGTTCTGGGTTTCTTTAGAGGGCAATAATCTCCCTCTAAAGCACATACCTTACTTTATATTCATTATATTACCATTCATAACTATTATATCCATTAGCAGATAGGGAGATGGTGAAGGGGCAATTGTAATATAGCACACCTGTGCATCCAGTGATGGACTTTTTGAGACAATAGGCAGAAATATGAGACATGAATTAACTTACTCTAGTCACAGGCCAGGCAATTTTTGACACCATGAACAGAAATATCATCCCAATTCATGGTCCCTGACCTGGAACCAGATCTCATAAGTTTTGTCTCCCAGCTGGTCATTTGACTTCATAATGTCTGAGACGTTGTCGACATGATTTGTGCTGCACTGAAGTCTCAGTTATCTATGGAATACAGGGTCAGAGAAGGATGGATAAGGTGGATAAATGAACTTCACAGATAATTTGAAATCATACTGGATGTTTCTACTGCCTCTAGCTCCAAAGTACATCTAGTAGTAGCTTAAATGGAAAATTAAATTTACCTCATTTGTCTTTCTATTCATCTGGAGTGTTACTACAAATGGGCAGCTGCAGCAAATAGGAGGAACAGAGAGCCTGGGCAACCCATCCTGTATGAACTAGAAAGGGCGGTGGACCCTCCCTGATAACCAACCACTTGCTGGGAATTTAAGCCATTTGACCAGCAAAGAGCATTCACTTTTTAAATAGTAAATGAAGGGGTTCTTCTCCCTTTAAATATTTATGTGTTTATGTATTATGATAAATCTAAAGGACCAGAGAGTTTGCTGGGCTACTTCTTTCTCAGTTTCCCCTTGCCACTTGCCAACAACTTGAAACAAGCAAGAATGACCTGCTTTAAAGGGAGAATGAAGAAAACCAAAGATGCAAGGGAAAGATTAGTCCAAGGGACT